AGGTAGGCTTATGTGAGAAAACTCTGAGGTGAACTTGCTAGGCTAGCATGGAGGTAGGGAGGGGAAGTGGGGCTCAGTTGAAAATATACAGTCAGGTATTCCTCATTACCAGCACTCCTGATTCCAGCATTCTTTCCATCAATCATTTATGGAATTAAGAGTGTCTCTGTTAATCTTGTATATTGCCCAGCCCTCCCTGCTCAGCTGGATATCCAGGTGAGAGGCCAGAAGGCATATGTGCATGGCATCAGCAGCTGGTAAAGCTCCAGATATATCTTTAAGAGGCAGGAGAACCAGACTTGCATTGCCTAACTCACTTTAGAACAGAATTGTGTTATCTTCCATTTTTCCCCTGGAGGCTTCTTGGTGCAGTATTGAATGTATTCGTTCATTCATCTCTATTCCTGCTGAACCTGCACATCCTTATTGCAGCTGTTAGTGTCACTGCTGTTTTCATGTTCTGCCTTGGATTTCAGCACTCAATCAGATCACTAAACCAAAAAAACCAAACTCACTACCGTCAAGTTGATTTCAACTCATAGTGATCCCTCCTTGGGTTTCTGAGATGGTTATCTCTAGGGAAGTAGATTGCCCAGTCTTCCTTCCAAGGAGTGGCTGGTGGGTTTGAACCACCATCCTTCTGGTTAGAAGTCAGATGCCTTAGGCACTACACCACCAGAGCTCCCAATCAGATGACTAGTATATGGTTATGTACTTATTATTTATTTCCTTTTAAAAAATTCAGGATACTTTTCTTTTCTTTCTAGTAATCTTTGTTCTAACTTAGTGTTAATTATCTTACATGTGAACACTGCTCCATATTTTCAAATTTTTTTAAAAAATTTAATTAGATTCTCAGAAAAAAATCCCATAGGATAGGCAATATAGGGCTTATGGATACCGTTTTTGAGGTGGAATCTGAAGCTTAGAAACTTCCAGTAACTTGCCCAGTGCCCCATATCTAGTTAGTGTTCTTGTGATTTCTAGGTTCTAGAACATGTATCAGTCACTAAGTGTCTTTTGAGGTATTAACGCTGAGCAGCGCTGTTCATATTTAAGTTTATAATTAAACCTTTTTAATTTTACATTTTTTTGTCTTTCAAGACAGCCTTTCTCTTTATGCTGTTATATAATTGTGTTGATCAGTTTATACACTCTTGCCAGAAATTCCCTGATTTCAGCTTGGAAGCACATTGAGGTAGGATGTTTTCCATGAGAGAACACTGTCCTAAATTTTATTAATATCTGAAACCATTTCTTTAGGTGAACATACTCAAGCAAATCGCATCTAACTAAGCTACTTTTAAGAAACTTAAGTGATTTTTTACTTTCAGAAATAATTGTTTTTAGTGTCATCTTTTATATAGAAAATAGCTTATCTAGAATATTGTCCTTCTACTGAAGGGAACTGCAATAGAGCAGCAATGGGAACCAGCCATTGTCTCTGGATCCTTTGCTTCTGTGTTTCTACCCTTAATCCACAAACATGTTGTTGTTAGGTGCCGTCAAGCCTGTTTTGACTCATAGTGATCTTGTTACAACAAAGGAAAACACTGCCTGGCCCTGCACCATCCTCACAGCTATTACCAGGCTTCAGTCCATTGTTGTAGCTACTGTGCTGGTCTGTCGCTACCGAAGGTCTGCCCCTTTCTCGCTGACCTTCTGCTTTACCCAGCACGAAACGCTTCTTCAGGGACTGGGCCCTCCTGACCAAAGTATGAAAGACAAAGTCTGGCAGTTCTCACTTCCAAGAAGCATTCTGAGTGTACTTCTTTCAAGACAGATTTATTCATTCTTCAGGCAG